GAAAACTGAATAAAATAGATATTAGAAGGCAACTTAGAATTATTTAAATTGGCCCAAGAAGTATAAGAATGATTACTATATCATTGATTGTATAGAATTTAAAAATAATCAACCAGTGAAACAGGTAATTCAGGGGACCATCTGAACTTCTCCCTATTTTATATTTGTTATGGCATGTGTCTAGATGTCCTCTCAAAGCCTCATGTGGTCATAGGTGGGCCTTTTCAGAGGTGGCTGCATTGGAGTATGTGACACTGAGATTGACTCATGGTGCAATACTAGGCTCAAAGGCACTAGGATTAGGATGTGAGTGCTACCTATCCTTAAGCCTGGATAAGATATAAGATAGAAAGAGCTATGGGTGTCCCTTGTTGCTTTGCTGACTTCTGCCCACCATGAACTGTTTCTCTTCTGTGATGTCTCCCTGCCTTGGAGCCAACTGATTATGAACTGAAACCTCTACAAACTGTAAGACAAATAAACCTTTCCTCCTTATATTTTGGGAGTTGAGTATTTTGTCTCAACAACAAGAAAAGTACTATGATATTATTCATCTTTAATTTTGTTCATTTGTATATATTTGTGTACATTCTTTGACTTTCTCATATAAGCAAAACCATGTGATATTTAAGTTTGTGACTTATTTCACTTAACACTCTATTCTCAAGTTGCATCCATTTACTTATGAATTCCTCAAGTTTATCTTTATGGCAGAGTAGTACTCCACTGTGTACAAAAACCACATTTTCCTAATCCATTCATCTATTGATGGATACATATGCTGTTTCCAAGATCTAGCTATTATAAATTGTGCTGCTACAGATATGCATATGCATTAAACCCTGTAACATGATGATTTTAACTTTTTGGGGAAGATATCAAGAAGGGGCTACCTGGATCAAGTGGAATTCTTACTTGTAATATATATGCTAATTAGTTTCATTTATACTACTAATTTCTCCTAATTCACTGAAAAGTAAGTTTTGTACTAATATGTTTGTTTCTTCTTTGTAAGAGAATCTTTTTCCATGTCTTTAACTCTGAGTAACTACTTTGAAGATAACAAATACACAGTGTATTACTTGTTATTATTCTCTAATTTTTCTGTTTTATTTTATATTTTCATAAAATAAAAAATTACAAAGAAAAAATTACCAACTGCCCTCTATATTGCTCCAAATAGTTTTGATTTTTACCACATCTTTAGAGAAGAAATAATATCTCTCTCATATAAGTGGCTTCTATACAAAACAAAGACTTAGTTAAAATGATTAACTAAATGCATAAATAAGAATGGATAGCTGGGCATGGTAGCACATGCCTGTAATCCCAGCACTTGGGAGGCTGAGGTGCTACATTAGCATTCAAGGCCAGTCTGAACTATATAACGAGACCGTGTCTCAAAGAAAAAAAAGAATAAAGACAGACCAAAACAAGGGAAGTAAATTATAACTGCAGATGCAAAAAAAATAACTTAAAAATAGCTATTAAAGTCCTACAATGAATTGAAGATTAATAACACAGTCTCTAGAATCTCACTACCTGCTTTCATTAGCCTTTGAATTAGCTTCATGATCTTTGCCAGGTCACTTTAACCTCTTTGGGTCTCAATACTATTCTTATTTATAATTAGGGACAACAGGAGTATCTATAAATTAGCATTAACAAAGGTTACATGAATTAATACAAGTACAGTCCCTGGCATATAGCAACTGATGAGAATCATCAGATCAAGCAAGGTGTATCTCATGGATGCAAGGATAATTCAATACTATAAATAAATTCATACAATTCACTAATTTATATTAAGTTTTATTTGAAGTCTAAACTCAGGTATGAACAAGTTTGAAGTTTGATACTCTGTTCTTGAAACTAATATATAGTCTTAGATTCTTTGTCATGTGTTCTTCCCAGACCTCTGCAATGCCAAAAACTTCTGGGATTGTTAAAACACAGTACAAACATATAGTTTTGCACTCAAGTTTTCTCATTAAGATCTTTGATTTCACATCTGATTTTTTGCCAATTGGGGCATAAAGTGGAAGCTAGGTTAAAGCAGAAGTTGGGTAGCAGCCTGCTCACTCACTTTTTTGCAGGTGTAGATGGTGAAGAAAATGCCACGGCCAAAGGTGGGCAACACCTGCTCAAACCTAGAACAAGCAGCATTTAATTTTGGTTTTGATTGGGTGGGGTTTTTTTTTGGTACTGGGGACTGAGCTCAGGAATTTGTGTGTGCAAGGTAGGGAGTGGAACCACTGAGCTAAATTCCCAGCCCTATTTTTTGGATTTTTGAGTCAGCGTCTCCCTTTATAGTTCAAACTGACCCTGAGTTCACTATGTAGCCCAGACTGGCCTCTAACTTGAGGTGATACTCCTGTCCCAGCCTCCTAAGTGCTGAGATAATAGGCATGCCCCACCATGCCTGGCTCACAAGCAGTGCTATTAATGGCAAAATGCAAGAAATGTTCCAAGGGCATATTAAGAGCCTCATGTATCATTGGATTTCTCAACAGCATAGAGGAGCTCCTGGACCTTATAAAAAGATAAACATTCAAGAATAGGAATTATGAATACCATAAAGGAATAGCAAATATTCCATTGTTTATAAAGATAATCACATATTTATAAAACAGAAAATGATCAATTATATTTGAAGTAGTAGGGGATAAAATGAGAATCTAAAGATATAATTGGGTATTATAAGGTTAACAAAAAACAAGCAAGTCTTTTCACAAACCACCAATAATTTGTTTTATTTTTTCAATAATTAATTTTAAAACATAGAATCAGTGGGGATCAAACTCGAGTACTTGCACTTGCAAGGCAGGAAGCGGAACCACTGAGCCAAATCCCTGGCCCTACTTTAGTTTTCTGAGACAGAATCTTGCTATATAGTCCGAGCTGGCGTCAAACTCAACCCTACATCCTCCTGTCTCACCCTCCAAAGTGTTGGATTATAGGCAGGGTCCATCATATCCAGCAGAAGATTATTTGAGGTCAGCCTGGGTGAGATAGTGAGACCCCATCTCAAAAATAAGTGAAGAAACAAAGTAAAACTTTGAACATTTTTTGTTTGAACTTCATCCTTTTATTCTTGACAGTTGTAATAATTATATGTGTTAACCAAATTTCTGTGAGGAATATTTTCATGGTTTTCATTACATCTAACTGTGAAGACTAACCTAAACTGCCACTGTTATGAAAATCTGAGAATTGTAATTGTGAAAAAAATATTAAGGGAATCTTAGAAGTATAGGATACTGTATAGAAGTATAGGTTACAGTGACTGCTTCCTGCTATTCACCATCTAATAACCTTTCCATGAAGTATAGTTTTATATAACAGAAGTTTATGGAAGGAGATTGATATAATTGCCTCAGAAGAAATATTTTATGTGGATTTTTGTTTTTATTTTTATTAGTTTTGCTGGTTAGGTGGATACAGTTGACCTTTCACTTTTTAATGGAGCCACTTTTTGTTAATCACTCCCTTGTAAAGTGGAAAGTTCTGGGCTCCTTATCTACTATTCTTGTACTTGTCTCAGGCCAAATAATTCATGCTGTGATTCTTATGAAACTTGTATGAAGATGCCCTGATTTATACTGATGGACCAGAGGAATTCTGCCATGTGATCTGTATAGCTCCAGATAATTTGAAAGATCCTTTTTAAGAGCACTAGTTTTCTTCTTCTGTAAGGGGAATGATAGCATTCTATCTAAAATCTGGGGAAGTAGACTTACTACACTTAAATGCGGGTTATAGCTGTAGAAATTTTGATTAGCTTTTATCCGAAGTGCCTTAAGTAGACTCTTAATTTACTTTTCTAATAATTGTTTAAATATCATTAATTATGCATTTTTAAGATTCTATTCAAAATGACACATTACAGTGGCAAAGATAACTAGATGTCTGGCTGTTTGCTTTTTTACCTTATCAAGAAAACTTTTACAACCTAAAAATAAGTAAGTAAGTAAATAAATAAATAATAAAACATAGGATTAAAATGGCAAATAAAACCTGAAAATAAACCTAAAAAGAAATGAGAAAACATCCATTTTCAGAAGCTGAGCCTGAAAACAAAGAATATGTATTTTTCCTTTTTAATTGTTTTTGAGGGGTGTTCAATAATTTATATGCTTGGCCCTGAGAACATATGACAGAGTGATAAGATTAAAAATTTGCGTTCACAAAAAATGAGAAATAAATAGTACCCTTCATTCCCATTTTGTTTTCTGGGTTTTGATCTAGAGTTTCCTCTGTCCAAGAAAAGAAGTATATAGATACTGTCATGTTGGAAGGTATGTTGGAATGTGTTGGAAGGTGAGAGGGTGGGAGGAGAGGGAGTTTTCTGGAGATGAGATGCATATGTGGTTCCCCTCCAAAGGGATGTGGTCCCCCTCCCCATAGCCCTTGGGCAGGAGGCATAGTCTCGTTCCCTAGAGACCTAGGGACTGCACCCTGGCTCTCACTTCCAAACTATCTGGGGTGTCCAAGTTGGGGTGGGGTGGACACATAATACCACAGATGGAGCGCATGACCTTGGACCCAGAGTTATCCTGACAATGATGTTCATATGTTCTTCCAGATGTTTCTACAGCTCCCCTCCCCACTATGTCCCCTGAAAGAGGAGATCAGATTGCCCCTCCTGCAAAATAAGAAAATCATATCCTGAGATTGAATTTTCCTGTTTTCTGGCAAGTGGGAACTCAAAGCCAGAGCTAATTTGACTTACATAAATACAGAAATGTGATGTTGCTTGAAACAAAAGCAACAGAAATTCATATTAACACAGATGATTTATTACACTTAATCTCTGCTCAGTTTGAGAGTTGAAGTGGTTATGAGCATGAACTTCAGATGGATTTGAATCCATGCTCTGCCACTTGCTGTATATGACAATATTCAAGACATTTAACCTCCCTAAAGCCTTAATGTCTTCCTGTAAAAAATGGAGAAAACAATACTCATCCATGGCACTGTGTAAAGATTAAATGATGTTTATTAAGAAATATTCAAAGCGCTTGTCAAGGTGCTCAGCATACAGCATGTGCTTAAGGAACAGGCTCTTTGTAGCAATAGTAGTGGTGGTAGTAATTTTGGTAGTCAGAATAATGTTAATATTTCTACAGCAACAAGTATCTGATCTCCATTTCAAAAATACAGAAAAAGGCTCAGAGAAAACAAAGATTCCCAAAGGTCACAAGGTACCCACCCCAAGACAGCCTATGGTTGGTGGTGTGAATGCCTCACTGAGGTCTGAAGTGGGGCAGGAATGTGTCCATCAGCAGGAAGTTACTTGGATTAGGTCTGGGATAGAAGGGGATCTTCCCTACAGGCCTAAACTGGGACCAGGTCTCCCTGAAACCCAAAGGAGTGGATCATACCTGGCAATTATTAGAGTTGGGTTCCTTCATCGCTGTTCTGGGCACCACCTGATTCCTTAACTTCATGGAAACTAGGTCATCCCCAGATGTCCCATATGTGTTGGACATCTCATTTGGAATTTGCCAGAAGTCTTCCTACTTTACCATTATGTTTAATGAGGACTGCTAAATCTTGATGGGACTGGGCAGAGAAAGATACTCTGTACGCAATTTGAGAGGGTCCTTCTGTTCTGGGATCTCATTATTGCTATTTTTAAATGAAAGAACTGGACAGCATGAGGATGAAAGAAGTTTCCATCTCACACTGAAGGTCAAGAATGGGGAGTGACCACCTTGTATACTACCAAGGGGCTCAAAGGAAATGTCAAGATGGATTGATGATTATGAAGGAGAAGTCAGGGCCATCTAGGGAATGAAGAAACTAAGGACACATCTGGCTTTAAGAGCTACAAATCAATCTGGTTGGAAAAGAGTTTCAGCATGTCATAAACCAAGTGGGCACTCAGGATGGAGGATGAAAGATAAGGCAGGATCTGACCTATCCTTTGACCTCAGGGCCTGCTCAAAACTCACATATGGCCAGTCGGTATTGCATACAGTTCCTATCATTCCATGTCCCATCTGAGTACATTTCTACACACTTCTCTTTGCCCCGACCCCTAGGCTCCCCTGGGTACCAGTTGGTGTAGTTCACAGGGGCCCCATCTAGGTAGCGGAAGTCCCCAGCAGTATTGCCCTCCATCAGGCCCAGATAGGTGTAAATATTATACTTCTTCACAATGCTGGCAACGGCTGCATTCTCCTCCGGACTCCTTGGAGCAGCAATGTCACCACCTGCTCTGGCACAAGTCTCTTTAATGGCATTAAAGTCGACTGACTGCCCATTAGTGGCGAAGACCTTGTCTCCCACTGCCAGCATGGACCCCTGCAAGCTGAGGACTAAAAGCAAAAGAGTGGTCAGGCCACCAACCTCTGTCTATACCTATCATGTTCCCTCCTCTTCCTGCCACCAAGTTCTCGCCATTCTCTTCATTTCTGCCTCTTTCTCTGTGTGTCTTCCATACTTCTTCCAATCCCAGCTTTTTAAATTCCTCTCAGCTTTCATTCATCCATCAATCCATCCATCCAACCATTTAATAGTTACTTATCTGCAGAAAAGGTACAGTGTCCTGGTATTCAACAGAAAGCAATTTAAGCAGAAAAAATGATTGCGAGAAAGTCCATGTCCATTTGTCACTTTGGGACCATTCAGAAACATTCGAAAAGGAAGTATCTTTCCTTCCCAAGACCTGCATGTTTATACTCATTTATGAGGTGTATAGGTTCTAGAGGCTGGTACCAAGGATGGAGGAATGTGTGAGAGATCTGAACCATGAGACCCCAAGGGATCCCCTTACCTCCTGTTGACTGCAGGATTTTATGTGAAAGGTCGTGGAGAATGGTTTGGATTTGCTCATCCAGAGATGCTGGAAGCCCTGTGGAGAGACACCCACCCTAGATGAAGGCCATGCCAATAAATTTTTTTGCCAAATAGTGCCAGCTGCAAGCCTGGAACTCTGCGCATCAAGTGTCTAGGCACATTGCCCAGGACCCAAGTTACAAGGGCCTATGAAGTGTGGTGTTTCCACATTTCCCTATCTTCCAAAATAGGCTTGCACTGTTCAGTCCCTTTCTATTCTCCTTTCCTGCTCTGTTCTTGGCATGGCTCTGCCTGAGAACATTAGTGTATTATTCTGGCATCTGGAAAGGGCCCTCTCTCCCACCCTCCACCAAATCTGATGATCTCTACTCTCTTCTGATAGACCTTGAGACTATTGAAAGCTGTGGGGCTCCCTCTGCATGTGGGACTCCCAATCACACACTCTGCCAAAATCCCTAATTCACAAACCTGGGTACTTTTCAGAATGGCTCCCAGAGCTTCCAGCCTAGGAAGGGCCTCCCCTGCTTTCCAGTCCTGTCCCTCTTCCACCCTGTGACACCTGTGTTTCTCCATCAACATCGTGATTTATGAAACACTTCCTACACCAGTCAGCCGCCGAACAGTGACCACATCACTCCAACTCTTCTCATTTCTCTCCTCAACCACATGTTCTCTTCCTTCCTTGGGTCCCTCTACCATTTTTCCAATCCCTCATGTGGCTGATTGCATGGTACTCTGCTCATGTCTCCCCTGCCCAGCTTCATCCCTCACCTCTACTCACCTGGAGGTCCCCTCTCACCAGGATCCCCCTTGTCTCCACGTTCTCCAGGAACACCAGGAGTTCCACTCATTCCATTACACCCAGGAAAACCTGGCATTCCTCCAGGGGGGCCCATGGGGCCTGCAGAGAGAAGGGGACATGGATTTGTGGACCTCCATTGAGCTGACTCACCTACTCTCCTTGCTCACTCTGAAGATAGACTCTCCAGGATGCCCCGGACTAAAAGCCCAAGGAGATACCCATCACCTCCAGGTCAGCTGGACTCTTGGACCCAGCCTAAACCCCTGGAGCGATGGAGCTCCTGAAAATGGGTCTTCTGTCCCTCAGCTGAACCTGTTGTTTGCCCCACCATACCTGGTGGTCCAGGGTCTCCTTTCATGCCATCTCTGCCATCTCTACCAGGAAGACCATGAGATCCAGGAGTCCCTGGGATACCAGGGCTTCCAAAACAATACTCTGTCCTGTTGCACATGATGCCAGAAACTGTCATCAAGATGAGGGTTAGAGCCAAAGAGCACAGCAACATGGCTCCCACTCCAGCTGCTTCTCCTGTAGAAAAGAAAGGCCACTGGCCCATCTGAGGCATTTTCATATATCTCCCCCCACCTTGTGCTTTGTCAGGACTTCAGAACATAGCAGAGCCTGTGGGCCAGGCAGGTTCAGACAGGAGCACTGGGAAGACCCAAACTATTCACACACAGAAATTTCTAGCATCGTCAGGCATCTAACACAGTCCTGTCGCCCTCCCTCTGGTTTGCAAGGTGTGGTGCTTTGGGTAGATAAGGAGCAAAGTAAAAAGCTCTGGAAGTCAGAGGCCTGGGTTCTCATGGAGTTGCTTTCTGTTAGTGCCTCCCAATATGACCCCGGAGAACTCACTGTTCCTCTCTGACTTCAGCTGGGTCAACTGTGCTCCAGAGATAATCCCGACCTGTCCTTCTCAGGCTTTTAGGAGAAGGGACATTGCCACTCACTTACTCCATCTGTCTCTCAACATTCTCAGTCACCCTCTTTCTGGGTTCTAAGAAATCGTAGATGTAAGGATGAACAGAGATGACCAGGGTTCCTCATGTGCCTCTGCTAAGTCAGTAGTGGTGAAGAGACCCCCCCTTCCCAGCCTGTCCCTTTCGCCTGTGGTTCTGAAGCCGAGTCTCACTGCCTGATTCAGCTCTTACACCCAAGAATGGAGGTTAAGCTCACCCACACTCAGAACCTCAGGTTGTTTGGATCTCTGCCTCCAGCTCAGAGTGAAGAGGTAGACAGCACCATTTATAGGGGTGTGAGCTGCTAACCTTCCTCTCTGTTCTTGAGAGGCCCATATCCCAAGGGCCTTTGCTCTAGGCAGGGCCAGGTGGAAGACATCCTGTTTACACAGCACATTCCCTGCAGAGCACTCAGGTTGGAGGAGCACTTAGGACCCTTGAAGGGAGCACAGAACCTACTGAAGAAAACTCCAGTCTATAAGAAGGGAAATTTCCCTCCGTGTAAGATGAAACATGAAAGCCTTTACCAGGCACAGATGCTGGTCCATTTAGTTCCTGGTTTGGTTCTACTCAGTGCGGAGGCTAGGGCTCAAGTTCAGTGTGGGCAATTTGAGCTGGAGTACAGTCTGTTCTGGTACTTGGTTCCGAACTAGGCCTCCCAGCACCTGCCTCTGGAGCCTGCATCTGAATTGGGTGGCAGATGAGCAGAGTGACAAGTAAGCATACTGCATGTTCCATATTCCTCTGTCCTGGGAGATTCTGCTGTGCAGAGATAGGAGAGGGTCTGAGAGGTTATAGCAGAGCAGTCGTTTCTGGTTTGGGCCATCGGTGATGTTGGTAATCCACAGTGGCATATTTTAAGTGACCAAATGTTGTCTGAAACCCTAATTGGTGAGATCTCCTATTCAAGCCACCTGAGAAGGAATCTCTAACTGCAGAGATGGAAACCATGGGAAAATGAGGCAAGAAAAAAATCCCCATGCTTCCTTCTAAGTGGTTTGGAAAATCTTGAAGTCCTTATGGAGTATGGAGACTTTTTAGAGAGTGAGAGCTCAGCTACTGGAACCCACTAATCACCAAAGAAATGCAAATCAAAACCAAAGTGAAACATCACCTCATCTCAGTAAGAACAGCTATTATCAGAGAAAAAAGATAACTGCTGGGGAGGATGAGGAGAAAAAAAAGGAAACTTGTACATTACCCACAGAAGGGCAAATTACTATAGTCTTTATGGAAAACAGTATGGAGGCTCCTCAAAAAAATTCAAAATGGAACTACTATGTAATCCAGCAATCCCACTCCTGAGTACATAGCTAAAAGAAATGAAATTAGTATATCCAAGAGACATCTGAGCTACCATGTTTATTGCAACACTATTCACAATAGCCAATAAATGGAAGCAACCTAAATGTCCATCAACTGATGGATGAATAAAAAGCATACAGCATAGATAGATAGATAGATAGATATCATGGAATAATACTTAGTCATAAAAAAGAATGTAACCCTGACTCTTGTGACAAAATATTAACTGAAATAAGCCAGGAACAGAAAGGTAAGCAGCACATAATATCTCACTCAGATGAAGAATCTAAAAGAGCTGATCTTGAAAAACTTGAGAGTAGAACAATGGTTAGCAAAATCAGAAGATATAAGAGGGAGGCCAAATGGGTAAAGTTTGATCAGTGGGTACAAATGGAAACATTTCTGGCATGCTCTTGAACAGTAGGGTGACCATGGACAGCGACTGAGTACCACACGCTTCAATAAAAGTCAAGTTTCTGCTATTGAAGTGGTGAGCATTTGAGAAGACAGATATGCTTCACCTGAGATGTTGACAGGTATCAAAACATCTCACAGTACCTCATTAATATGATGAATTCTTATGTTTATATATCTGTTTAAATAAATTTACTTTCCGAACAGACAGTAATCAATACAGTGTAGTACTGGTGAAAACGTAGAGAAGTAGATCATATAGATGAAAGCCAAGAGTCTAGAATACATAGGCCCTCAAGTATAGTCAACTTATCTTCAACAAAGGAGCAAAGACAGAAAAATGGACAACCTTTAGCCTTTTTAACAAATGGAGCTTGAACAATGGATATCCACATGCAGAACTATTTAGATACAGACTTTACACCTTTCCCAAAAAGTAACTGAAAATAAATAATAGAACTAAGTGTAAAATTAAAAGCTGTAAAACTCCTAGAACAGTGATGGCTAACTTTTTTTTTTGATTTTTTAAAATTGAGTTTATTGGTACAATCTAGGTATACAATACAGTTACATTCATCATTGGGATTCTATAGCTTTACATAATAGGTCTTGATTCTCATTTTTTCCCCTTGTCCCTGCCCTCCCTTCACCCCCTCCTCCCCTCCCCATCTACAAACACTTTATTTCCATTTTTTCAGTTTCTCATATTTTTTTCCTCTCCCTTATTACCTTTCCCCCACCCTTCCCACTTTCCCTACACCTTTAGCCCTTTACTTCCTAGATGGCTGACTTTTTAGAGCTTTCAATTATACGAGCAACCCACTGCAACACACAGGCCATAGGTTCGCCGCCACTGTCCCAGAAGATAACAAGAGAAAGTCTAGATGCCCTTGAATTTTGTAATGACTTTTTAGATGAACCCTAAGTCATAATTCAGGAAAGAAATCATTTGTAAGTTGGACTTCACTGAAACTAAACATTTTCACTCTTTAAAAAACACTCAAAGGGACCAATAATTTTGTATGTTTAGACAAAAAAGAAACTCTCATTAATCCCCAAACCACCTGCATAAAGACAGATGACTATATACTAAATAAAGGAAGGGTACTACCTGCTGTGACATACATAGTTCCTCATACTTTGAATAGGGGACTAATTTTACTAAAAGTAGTTTTGTACCTCAGGGAGTTGGAGAAGAAAAATAAAAAAGACTACAGGATATGGGCTGCAGGATGGACACACATATCAGTGAGATAAAAATAGACGCCTAGAAACAGACCCACACAAATATGTCCAACTGATTTGTAACAAAGGGACAAAGTCAAATCTATAGGGAAAAGACACCCTTTTCAACATTCTAGTATCAGAGAGGTTGGACATTCATGGGTATCATGGTGGGAAGAAGAGGAGGAGAAGGAAAAGGAGGAGGAGGGGAGGGGGAGAAACAGGAAGGCGAAGGGGGAGAGGAAAAGAGATGGGTAGGAGGAAGGGAAGGAAAGGGACGGGAAGAGGGGGGAAAAGAAGAAAGGAAAGGAGAGGAGAGGACAGGGGAAAGGAGGGTGGGGAGGGGAGAGGAAAGGAGGGAAGAAAAGGGGAGGGAGGAGGCAGGGCCAGGAAGGGATTAGGAGCTACCAGGCTGGGTTTGCGCTTCAACCTGCTTCCCAAGAGAGAAGGCAGGATGGACCACATCTGCACCACAGCCTGGGGAATCTAGGAAAGCTCTCTTCTGTCTACATTGTGAGAAGAAAGAAATGCCAACTGACTGCAAGCTTCCCAGGTTAATCCCTGGGGTGGGGCAGTCTGACTCCTGGTCTGGAAGGGTCCTTCACTGCAGACACCCTCCTGAGCCCGTTGCCACTGATGAACAGAGTGGTTAGCATCACCCCAGCTGCTCTGACCAGACCTCCAGGGTTATATCTCAAGGACTTAATTTAAAGGAAACCATCTACAGAATGCTCATCTCTTTTTGCTACAGTCAAAATTCAAAAGAATTGCATTAAACAGTTAAGCAGGCACAGACATTAGATTTCAAGTAGGCTTGAGCAGTCCCCCAACACCCTTCCAAAATATGTCCCAATCTTGTGCCACCCAACCTTCCTGATCACACTGACCATTCATTCATTCCCTTTCAACTCTTAGCAGCATTTCCCAAGTACCAACCTAGTGCCAGCCTGGAGAGCACACAGGAAAAAGGGGCAGCAGAATGTGACCCAAATAAGGACAGAGGACAGCAGTGCTTAGGGGCAAGGCTTGGAGAAGACAGGGGCGCAGCCTGAGTACGTGCCTTGGACATGTCCCTAGGCCTGGTGGAGTCTCAGATTCCCATCTATAAAGTGCAAACACCAATAGGATCTACCTCACTGGGATGAAAAGATGATAAATATGCCACCATTTGCAGAAGACTGGTGTGGGAAAACCTGATCCATGCTGGAAAATGTCCCACATTTACAGAGCGGCAGGCCTCGCTTCCTGCATGTTGACAGCAAGGTTTCCCTGGCTTGTGAGCCCAGTAGGAGTCCACATCTGCATCTGCATGATTTCTAAGCGCAGGGTCTTCCCAAACCAGCTCCTCCTGTTTTTTGGTGTTTTTTGTTAATGCTTTCCTGTCTAAGACGATAAGAGGACCTGCTGAGTGGATGCAGCTTGAGATAGAATAGGAAAAAAATAATACAGGTAGGCAGAAAGAAGACAAGGTTTGCTCATGCCTTTTTCTTTTCCAGGAAATTCACTCAAAAACAATTCCTAGGTTCCATAAAAACATAATAAGCCTGTCAACTGGGTGGTGGACCCAGGCTTTTCTCCTATAAATTTCCTTCCTCCAGCACAATGAGCTTCCCCTCACTCAAGGAAGCAGCAATATTAATGGGGAACAGATCTCAACTTTAGACACCTGTAAATGATTTGCATTCTAACCTCACCACCTGGCAGACCGTAGGAATCCACATCCTAGGTCGCTCATCTTGAAGATACCCCCAAGAGCGTACACCACAAAGTACCTCTCTTGAGCGTCCTTGCTCTGCTCTTTCTAAGGGTGTACTTTTACTTTTACAATTCTGCCTAGTAAACTTCTTTATGCTTCTCACTGATTCACCTTAAAATTTCATTTTCTGTGATGGAACTCAGCAAACATATAACCTGCCCCATGGGGTGAATTGAGGTCCCCATCTCTCTGAGGAACCCTCTTAGAATCATTTATGCAAAAGTTGAAAATATAAATACAAATACTAACTATTAAAAAAAATGAATTTGTGTTTCATACACAACCTGAGCCAGGAATTCAGCCCCTGCAAACCTAGCTCAGCCTTTTACTCCAGGAGGGCTACTGTAACTCCAAGCCACACAGGAGTATTTGTCAGCAGCAAGCCCTGTTCAAGTTCTAAGTAGGTGCACTGGATCCAGGACCACACTCTGCCCACAGCCATAACCAGGGGCCCCAGGGGCTGGGCCTGCAGGGATTTTCAGAAAGTGTGGGGCCTATACTCTTAAGTGAAATAAATAGGACACACATGTGTTCACACACATGCGTACCAAATAGTTTCTCTGGTGCAAAAAACTAAAGTGTAAATAAGGTTCACATTGTATAATTGATAATGTGAAATAGGAAGAAAAGGACTCACTAAAGGAGTAGGGGAAGTGGGAAGGGTAGGAGAAGGGAAAGAAGGGAAAAGAAAATAGGAGAAAAGGAAAAAATGGAAACAAAGTCTTTGTAAATAGGGAAGGGTGGGGGGATGAAGGGAGGGCAGGGGTATGGGGAAAAAATAAGAACCAAGATACATCATGTAAAGGTACAAGATCCCAATGATGAATGTAACTGTACTGTATACCTAAAAAGAACCAATAAACTTAATGAAAAAATATTGTGGGGCCTGTTGCAGAGTGACTGTGGCACCTGATCACTGCAGGGTGGTCCCTAGCCACATCTGCTCCTACCATAAAGCCTTGTCTGGACAGCCCAATGGCACCATTCCTGGGACTGTACCTGATGCCCCAGTTCCATCTGCTCATGGCCTTGCAGACACAGCTGGATAAACAGGGAATCTGTAGAAACTTCTTTTCTGAGATCCATCCTGGCTCTTAAAGCAACAAGGGTGCAGGGGGAGAAGAGGAACCCCAGTCCAAGAGACCTGTGGAAGACAGGACAACACAACATAGGGTCAAGAGGGCCTTCCCCAAGGGCCAGCACACAGTGTTACTTTAGAAGAGCATTGTGGATAAATACAAACCAGGGAGGCAGGGAAGGCGAATGACAGACAGACTCACAGGGACACCACTGCTGGCCACTACTCCAGTGAGAAGCAAGAGCCCAACAGAAGCCATTCCATACCCTTGATGTCCTTCCTGGGATGAACAGAATGCACAGCAGCCTTATTGCATGTGCCATGGGTCCCCCAACCAGCCTCAGGTCCACTATGCTCGAAGTAACTTGTCAGTCCGCAGGCGGAGATTACGAGCTCCAGGAGATGACAGGCAGGGGTATGGGCTGTCCTCAAGCAGAAGGAACCTCAAGAGACCCAAACAAGGATTAATCCCTAACCTTCCAGCTCTCTTCCAGCTCTTTAGACCCCAAATAACTGTTCCCAGACCAACAGAGTCTGGTGCCAATCACCACTTCCCTTTATCCCAAGAGAGTTAGGTAGCCATCCTCCCCTCTGTGCCATAGAGAACACCAGCTGTTAGCATCCCAAGGTGGGTCAGGGGAAGGCAGAGAATGCGCACACACACCAAATGCCACTCCAGGTTCACCTGGGCTCCTCTGGACAATGGGATAGTTCTCAAACCTGTAAAGTGGGCATAAAGAGAGCAAGCTCCAGCTGCAAGCACCACATTTATGTGCATTATTCATATCCCCCAATAAAAGGAGAAAATTCTGTGGAATGGGAGTGTGGCACAGGTATATGTGGCTTTGGGAAATTTAGTTGGACCCATGAGGTAACATAACAATTACTGGGGTTGACCATTCCCATGGGACACATGAAACTCCCAAGAGGGAGCCCCTCTTGTGTCCTAGGGAGTGTGTGGGTCAACTCTGCCCTCTGCTGGCTGCATGGAAAGATGTTGCCAGCTGACTGGCTGTGCAGATAAATACCAATCACTTTTCTTGTTCATTTATTCCAAATTCACATAGGCCACTTCCTATAAGGTGCCATGATAGCATAAAGGCAAACCTGACAGTAAGTCCGTGCTTTCCCTCTGGCCTGATAAGAACAGAGTCTTCCCTTCATGCGCCTTCCTATGTCTGGGCTTCTTATGGCTTATATCTAGATGTCTCCCCAAAGCCTCACACGCTCTTAAATGGGGCTTTAGGGAGATGACTGGATCATGGATGTGTGATACTGTGTCACGGATAAGTGGTGGCTGGATTAGTCCACTGACTGGATTAGCACGGTTGTGGATGATGGGATTACTGAAGAGGGAAGCCTCACACTGAGTGTGGTGGTACCAACTGATATGCTTGTAGCCTGGATGGAATACAAAGAGAAAAAAGAAAGGAAGGCTTCTGCTCTCTCTCTCTCTCTGCCATGCCATGGCCTGTTTCTCCTCTGCCATGCCACCCTGCCTTGGAGCCAGCTGACTATTGACTGAAACGTCTGCAAACTGAGCTGAAATACACCGTTTTTTCCTTTAACTTGTGGGTGTCAGGTATTTTATCCCAGCAAGGAGAAATTAACTAAGACAGATTTTGGTATCAGGACTGGGGTTGCTGCTGTGACTGTACCCGACCGTGTGGTTCAGAGCCCTTTGGAACTGGCTTGCAGGCAGAATTGGAAAGTTTAGAGGTGCTGGCTGAAGAAGCAGCCCTAGAATGCTGGAAGCTGAAACTGATGGGAAATTCCCATCAGAACTCAGGAGACCAGAATGCTGATAGAAATGCAGCTGATAACAACCAGGCTTAGGAGATTTTGGTTAGGAACGAAGACTGCATTGGACTCCAGAGCATGTGTGTTATGCTTTCATAGAAAGTTTGTCTGCATTTTGGCCTTGTCCAGAGACTTTGCCTGAGACTGAGATTAAGAGCATCACATGAATTAATCTGGTAGAAGAAATTTCAAGGCAGCCTAGTGTTGAGGTGGCTGCTGTTAGGGACTTTTTGCCAGATCTATGTTGAGAATCAAGAGCCAAGAACCCACCAGAATGATTTAAAGTGTTTTGAGTTTGTCCAGAAAGGAAGCTGGAATGTTGCAGGCTGCAAAGATGAAATGGAGAACTTGGTTGCTGAAATGATTGGCATTAAAGAGCCAAGTAATTTGGAACTGGACAATAGAAGAGATGGCCTGAGGGTGTCACAAGAACAAGCAATACTTCAACCTTTGCAGCCTCAAAACTGCAAAGGTGAAAGACTTCACTTTGAGAAGAAAACATCACGGAAACATGTATCAGAATGGCAGCAGCCTAGGAAATTTGTTCTCCCAGATTAGCTTCATTGTGATCAGCAATCCAGTCACCCAATCCCTACAGCCAAAAGAGAAGGAAGCCCGGCTACTGCCCCAGCTGGCAGCAGACCCTGGCATCATCTACATGGTGTTAGTTTTAGGCACATGCAGAATGCAAGAGCTGTACAGTCAGGAAGGTTTCCACTAAGATTTCAGAAGAAGGCCTGGAAGGCAAGCAGTGTGCTCCTGAGAGGGCAGTGTGTGAAGCTGTGAGTGTGAAGCCAAAAGTGCAGCAGAGAGCCCAGGAGGTTGAGGACAAGAAAAGGGGTCATCTGAGAAAAGCTGCAAGGAGTGAATAAAGCACCCCCAAGAGAGAAGCCATGAGGCTCTGTTAGGTAAATGGTGGCCACCCAGTGAAGGGCACAGCTAGCCTGAACTTAGGCTTTCGAGCAGTACTTGTCAGCCAGGGATGAAAGGGGAGGAGAATAGTGAGTGTGAAGGCTAGGAAAGAAGAGACTGAGCATGTACCAACAGGAGGGCTTGAGTAGCCGAAAATGATGAGGAGTAATCTCCTAAGGAATCAGCAGGGGGAATGGGGTTCAGAGGGAACTGATGGTGTGCATCAATTCAAAAGGACTCAGGCCTGTGGGTTGACGGGGTTTGTATATAGAGGAGGGCCAGGAGTAATAAGTCTGGCCAGGGATGGTGGAGTTCAATGGAAAATTTAGTGGGTTTGGGGGGAGGGTTGCTTTTGTTTTTTGTAAGCAGGATGATCAAGGTTTTCAGAAGTTTTGTCTGTTGCGAGGTGTTTTGGGTGGGGAGTGATTGGGTCTCAGTTATGCATCTGGAGTCAGAGTGCCCAGCATCCACTGGGGATTTAGAAAGAGTTCTGTCTGATGGGGAGGGGAGGAGGGGGTGAAGAGAGGGCAAGGACAAGAGGAAAAAATGAGAACCAAGACCTGTCATGTAAAGGTACAGATCCCAACAACGAATGTAACTGTACTGTATACCTAAACTGTACCAGTAAACTCAATTAAAAAAAAAAAAAGAGTTCTATCTGTGAGCCAGGTATTGGCTGTCTGTGGGGTGGGGTTTTTATATATATATTGGGACAGTGGCAGAGATTATGGTAAATAGTTTGAAGATAGCTGTGAACAGTATTCTGAGCTGGGGAAGACGTAAGGGTATGGGTTTTGCGGGGAGGCATTTAAAAAGAGTCTGACTGTGAGGCCAAAGTTGGGAAACCAGAGGCAGAGAAAGCCAGCCAGGGCACAGAATGAGAGTGGTTTTTCATCTGTCACAGGTGCTGGACATGGAAGTACAACATTCAACGTTCACCCTGCTGGATTTTGATCTTGCTTTGATCTGTTCCTTTCTATTCCCCTATTTCTACCTTTTGGAATGGTAATGTTTATTTTGTGCCATAGTATATTGGAAGTGCTTTAATTTTCTTCACATTTGTACAGGGGCTTGCCGCCGAGAATTTGCCTTATAAATCTCAAAGGAGGTTTTGGACTTGAACTTTTCCTCTTTTTTTTCCCCCTCATTGAGTTTATTGGTATATTTTAGGTATACAGTACAGTTACATTCATCATTGGGATCTTGTACCTCTACATGACAGGTCTTGGTTCTCATCTTTTCCCTTTGTCCCTGCCCTCCCTTCACCCCCTGTGGACTTGAACTTTTCCTCTTTTTTTTCCCCCTCATTGAGTTTATTGGTATATTTTAGGTATACAGTACAGTTACATTCATCATTGGGATCTTGTACCTCTACATGACAGGTCTTGGTTCTCATCTTTTCCCTTTGTCCCTGCCCTCCCTTCACCCCCTGTGGACTTGAACTTTTCAACAATGCTGAAACTTAGGACTTTGGCAACTCTTGCAGGTGGACTAAATGCCTTTTGCATAAAAGGATGTGCATGAGTTTTAGGGGTCCAGGGGTGGAAGGTCGTGGTTTGTATCTAGATGTCCCCCACAGCTTTATGCACTCGTAGGTGAGGTTTTGGGGAAGTGGCTGGCTCATGGGTGTGTGATACTGGATGGTGGGTGTGGTAACTGAATTAGTCCGCTGATTGGCTTGGAGTAGTTGGGGGTGATGGCATTGCTAAAGAGGGAATCCCCACATCGGGTGTGGGTGGCACCAACCAGTCTCATAGCCTGGAGAGAATAGAAAGGGAAACAAGAAAGAGAGGCTGCCATGAGCCTGAACTAAACCTGTCCCCCTTTAACTTGTGGGTGTCAAGAAATTTGTCCAGAAATGAGAACATAACTAAGGCAGGGCTCTTCTGGCTGCTCATCTCCTCTCCCTGTCTGTCCGCAGAGGTCAGATCAGGGCCATAACTCGGGAGAAGCCTACCGTGACCCACCATCTACTCTAGCACCTGTGTGATACCAGGTACCAGATAGACCTTTTCCATCTACTACATCTTTCCTGGGCTCCCCTCAAGGTTGTACTCATTTCTTCCTTGTAATAGGTGTGGAAACTGAGGCTTGGGAGGTTCCTTAATTTACCAGGGGTGGGTCAGCCTACAGGTTCTGAAGCTGGGTTCACACTTGTCCTGCCTGACCCTAGAGGTCCATCTCAGGTTTCCGTAAAGATCTTGGTGCACACTCCACCCACAATGGCCACAGCCACGGCTTCAGCTCAGATCAGCTGTGTCTAGTCTTCCACTCCACAGCCTAAGCCCGATCTAGGCTCAGCTCACCGTATCACCCCCAGGTCTGGTCTTGCTCTTTGCCTGCAACCCACACCCAGCCCTGGGAGTGCTCAGTCAGTCCTCCCTCAGCAAGGCTGAGGTCCCAACCCTCAGACCTAGGGCTACAGGTACTCCAGAGTTTGGCTCAGGTTTCCCACGCCCTCAGCTTATGTACTGTATGGATGGTGGTGATGCCAGGCCAGGCTTTTGTGGCCAAGATGCCCTAGAGGACAGAGCAGAGCAGAAGAATCGCAGCATGTAAGGAAGTTTTCTGCTGTGGGAAGCTAGGCTCAGTCCAGTCCTGGCCCTGACAGTAGAGAGCAGCACCCCTCCTGGGCCCAGACCACGGGGAGACCTCCGGGAGCCTTATTCCACATGCCAGCCCTTCATGATGAGATCCCAGCATGGCCATTGTCGAATCAACTTGCGTTTGTGGAAAGCCACAGGTAATAGCCACTGTTCTTCTCGTCACTGAATGACATACAAGCATCTGCCCCGAAAGAGTACTGTGACATTTCAAAGGCCTCTGGTGAGTGAACAGCTCCCAGATAATAGTGTATGACTGCATTTAGAAAATGCTAAGCTGTGCCGTGGAATTAAGAGTTAGCTCCTCATATGTTCTAGACATCATAATATAATGTTGCAGTGTATTAAATACTATCCCCAACAATGATACTTAGATGCAATTGGAAAAAAAAAAGTAAAAGCGTTATGTAAAAAAATTATAAAAACTAAAAGCATGTATCGACAATTCAAAAGCACCTTTGAAGACAAGTGAGAAATTATATAGGGTCTCCCGGTGACTTAAGGATTGGGATAAGGAAGGTCACATAAAGGCTGAGTGAAGCCAGGTGACCTATTTCTATTTCATGGTTTCTATTTTATGCAGGACAGCTCAGGAGTCCCCCTGGAGGAGCTGGTGGAAGAGGATGGCTTCTTTCCATGAACTCCACATACGAGTTCCCTGGAAACAGACTTTGGGAATAGACACGACGGGGGAAGCCCAACAGCTGAGGGGCAGCACAAAGTCCTTCATCCCAGGGAGACCACATCTTTCCCTTTGGCTGGGGCAGAGCTCTGTGACAGGTGTTCCATCAGGGCCATCAGCCGCCCAAGTGCCACATCTAGAAGCTCGGATTTAAAGAGGCTTTCGGTTTGCTTTTCTCGAGTCTGTATTGTGGGAGAGAGGCTTGCTTCAGCCTCCCAAGTTCTCACCCAGCCATTGTGATGAGCTCTCAGGGAGAGGAGTGGGATCTAGTTTGGCAAAGACATGCTTCTTTTCCACGCTTCTTCAAGAGACTTGCCTGGTGTTCCGCAGCTGTGGCTCACAAGGGGCTTTTGTCTTCCTTGATTCTACCAGTTGTGGCACAGAATCAAACTGCACCCGGTAGACCCCTTGTCTCAGTACAGAAGGTTTTTCTTTCCCTGCTTGAACAAATCTGTCGAAAACAAGAGAATGGCCCCCACACCACCCGTGTGACCCTCTCCCCATCTCCCACTGAAACCCAAGGAGAGTGAAACTTGGTCTCACAGCCCTGAGATTCCTCATCCAGAAAACCCACGGCCACTCTCCGGCTCTCAGGCCTACCCCAGGACCACCACAGCCAGGCCACACACAGGGAGGCCGCAGCCAGGGAGCACCAAGACCACTGACTACGGCTCTGCCCAGAATCAAACCAGCACCTGGCAAACAGGCCAGCACCACTGGTCGGGGTGGGGGAGCAGTGAAGTACCCACCCTCCGACACCTCGTGGAAGAAATTAGCGAGTGAGCAGGGAATGAAGGAGGCCCAAGCCACTACTCCTTAGAACTCCGCAGAATTCTCACTTGAGTGTTGAAGTGTTCTCTCATCAGTTGCTTCCCCAAGGAAAGTTTAAAATCCCAGTCCAAAGGAGCATCAGAATTATATAATTAAATATATATTTATAAATTCTTAACATATTGAAATAAATGCTACACCTATACCTTGATGACAGCAGCTTGTTTTACTAAAATTTGCCATTTTAGACTACAGTGAGAATTTCCAATTTTTTATTTATTTGTTTGCTTTTGCAGTGTCCCAATCCTTCAAAGCGTTTTTTTTTTTTTTTTTTTTT